GCCACCCGCCCCCCACAGTCTCTCTGTCCCTGGGGTAACCCAGACGTCCAGTTTTCTCTCTGCCCTGAGGATGGCACCACGAGGTCCGGCTCACCAGGGGGAAGCGGGGACTGGCGCCCAGGGAGGAGGGAGACAGACACGCAGGCCGCCAGCACAGCGGCACACGCGTGGCCCCACCGCGTCCCTGCCGAGGACTTCCTCAGCAATCAGACGGTGCCGCCTCACCCTTGGCACAGTGTCCAATCTCTGTTCTACGGGGTGAAGACAAAGCCCGTAAATCAAGACGTGTTTACATTAAGAATGCAAACAAGAGGGGGAAATGCAGAGAACATTAAAATATTTACATCTTTTCAAGCAAGGCCTCCTGGTTTTTGTCCTGTTTGCAAAGCGGCATGTGGTTTTGTGTGAATTTGCATACGGTTTGACGTGCCACATTCTTATCCTTTCGACAAGTGTGTTGTGTTTCTTCATGGCAATAGTCCCAACTCTGCTGAGCTGGCGCCTTTGTTAGACATCCATAGGGATTCTTTCCGATAGTCTCTGCTGTGATAAATAACGCCATAAAAACATCTTTGTACAAATTGCATATTTCTTTGGGGTTGCTTCTTTGAGGTCATGACTCCTGGAGGAATATCATCCACAGCAGTTTTTGCATCTGCTCCTGATTTCCTGACCCCGAACAAAGCCAAGGACGACCAGCTGTGCAGAGTCTCACCTGTTCTGTTGGTCCTGCCGAGACCGGGCTTTACCTGTTTCGCGGTTTGCCAGGTTAGGGAGTGGGGTGTTGCCGATGAGATTACCTTGTTTTCCCCGTGGTCATCATCCTGGCGTCAGGGTCGCTGGACTTTTCCTGTAGGCACCCCTCAACTTGGCCACCGCCAACACGCCCGCCCTCCGCCACACACACCCGTGCGCACACGTGCAGACAATGCCAGTCCAAATCCCAGAGTCTGCCTTTTAAATCAATGAAGTGATCCACAGAGCATCTCACAGAATTAAGAGACACAAATACTTTGAAAAATGAGGAAAATTTTTAATGCCTCCAGGTATTAAATTATACTAAAATTAAACAATTCAACATGGTATTGGAATACTTTGGAAAAGTTAACATTACTGATGTTGGAAAGCAAAAGATTCTAGAATAGATTTTTTTTTCTAATTTGGAGGAAAGCTTTCTAAAGGTAAAAACAATGGACGTGAAAAGGGAAGAAAATCAGAGAAGATATAGAGGATAGACAGTTCTTTATCTGTTGAATATGTGTTATATGAAAGTGTAAATAAGTAAAGATGTGACCCCAGCACAGACAGACGACGCCATTGGCAGAGCCGGGGCTTGACTCATTCCAATGCTCAGTGCTTGTGGTCTGAGGAGCCCTCACGAACCAATGAAACCCGACACCTCACACCTGGATGAAGCGCAAAGGGCATGGGCCAGCGTTCACAAAGGAGGAAATCCCAACGGTGAACACAGGCAAACCCTGATAAGTTACATCCGCGAGTCGAGAGAATGTCGCCACAGCAGGCATCCCCGGCCGCAGTCAGTATGACCAGGGCCTGCCCGCCTGCTTCTCGTGGGCTGCGAGACAGTCAAAACTGAGCCAGGCATTGCCTCTCGATTTGCTACGAGAAGGCAAGCTATTGGTTTGGAAAACGTCTGTCTTGGTGGCCTCATTGTTGTGATGCCCAGCCTGACAGCTCTGATTTGAAGACGACTTCTCAGCCCAGGGCAAGGATAGGAAGTTTGGTGTCTGCCCGGAGCCCTCGGCCCAGTGACTCCTGCAGCAGCTATGCAGAGACCGGGGGGCTTGCTGGGGTCCTGGGTCCAGCTGACCACATGCAGGGCGGCCCTCTGGACTCTGAGCCTCTCCCGCAGAGACATCAGGACCCAGCTCTGGCGTCCAAAAGTGGGCACAGAGTGGGTGGTAGCTGGTCTCCCTTTGCGGTTTTCTCCAAATCTTAATTCCTCCAACTTCCTGCCTGGCTGTTGGGGCACCGTGGGTGGCCACCAGACATCTGTCTCTCATCCACTGCTGTCTGGCAGCCTCCACACCCAAGCTCAGCATTCACCGGCTCCATGACCTTGGGCAAGTCATCTAACCTCTCTGTGCCTCAGTTTCCCCATCTGTAAGGGCTGGCTGCTACATTGCCTCTGGAACCAGCCTCCTAGCCTGATGGCCACTCTCCGCCTGTTCCTGGCAGTTTCCCCTTCTGCTGCTTTGTGGCCCCTCCTTCGATGCCCCCTCCCCACCAAGAGCAGCTGAGCTCACAGGAAAGGTCAGTCTGGTGAGCCTGTCACTCTGGGATGTTACAGCTCCACCTCTGTTTGCACAGAATGGCAGGCCAACATCGCCAGCTGCGCCTGGGAGCCAACCCCAAGTCTACTCTTTCCCACCAGTGTTGTTGCCATGGTTACAGATGCAGTGGCCTAGGTGCTCAGCTCCAGCCTCCCAGACTGGACTGCGAACCCAGGCTGCTCTGCCTCGCGCTGGCCCCCTCCTCGGTCGGGGCTAAATGGGGGACTCACGTCTTTGTGTTTGTTGACAACACTCCAGGGCTCCTGTTGCCCAGAGCGAGAACTTCCAGGCCCAGGCATCAGAAAGCCAGATTCCAGCCCAGCTCTGCCCCAAACCGGCTGACTCCTGAGTTCGTCATTTCCCCCTCCAGACCTCACAATCTCGGGTTTCCCGTTTGAAAATTGCAACATTCTCTACGGTGCCAGGCCACTGCAAGAATTAGCTGAGGCTCCTTATGAGCAAACTTGGCCCTGTATGTGCTGTCCGGTGACTTTGTGGCTGCTGGTCCCTTCCCAGTGGGCAGCCCCCTGGGCCACCATGAAGCTGACTTCCACACCACAACCCACCAGCTGTGTGGTTTGGCCTGCCCCGCCAACCCAGCCCCTCCGTGCCATGGGCTCGCTGGTCTGGCTCCAACGCGCAGCCAGGTCTGTATGACTGGGGTTCTGCAGGGAGAGGTCTGCGATGGGGCGGGGGAAGGGGTGCTGCAGATAACAGAATCCACTCCACCTGATTGAAGCACAGGGAGGTTTATTGAGGGCTCACAGACAGTGGGCAGAATCAGGCTCTAGACGGAACTTCCAGGAGCCTGACTCCAGGGGCCATCCCGGGCTGCTGCCCTGGCTGGGAGCTGCCTCAAGTCCAGAACATTCTGTGCCAGCAGCCCTGCCTCCTCCCCAGGCAACTCAGCCCAGGATCAAAGTCTCCTGCGAACGCTTCTGCAGAGGACCAGCTGCACGGGAGCCGGGGAGTGCAGTGCAGGAGAGCAGGCAGCAGGCAGGAAGGTGCCTTGCGCCCACACAGGGAGCCCAGGAGCACTCAGAACCCAGGCTCCCCTCTGCTGCTCTGAGCTCCCAGGAAGGCGGCCCCTCACTGTCCTGGCCTCGCTTGGCTGATGCCCCCGCATCCTGCTGACCACCTGGGAGAAGCTGCCCAAGACGCAGCTCCACTCCAGACACTGTCCGACGGCAAGCCCATGAGCTCGTACTTCCCAGCCCTCAGGCGGATGCAGCCTCCTGTGGAGCTGACCCAGGACGTGGCTGTGCGGCCCCCGCTGTTAACCCAACTTGGCCCCAGCTCCTGCCTGGAGTGACTTTCCACTAAGAAAAAAACACCCAGGTTTAACCTCAATCTCATGTCCAATTTAAAACTGTTGTCTACCCTTGCTGCACGCAGGACAAGGGACTTGGGGCCCCAGGGCTGGAGGCTGTCCCCTCGATGGGTCCAGCTTGACGCTGGCCTCAGCAGATTTAAGATGGGGTCAAATGCTGGACCCAATGGTGCGGTGGGGGGTGGGCCCAAGGGAGAGGGCATTCAGGGGTCTGTGCTCAAATATGGCAGCAAAGGATGCGTTGGGTCCAGGAAAGGTGTCATCTTAACAGGTCCCTTAAGGGGAGGGGGGAGGGATGGGGAGGAGAAAACAGAGGCGGTGAGGACTGTACCCAAAAGGGTTCTTGGGCACCAGTCGGGGGAGCTCCCATGAGCAGGAAGGAGCTGGGATTCTTGGAGTTGAGGGCCTGGGGGTCTTCCTTGGAGGGAGGCATCCTCCCCTGGGAGACTCCATCAGGGGCAAGGAGCCCCAAAAGGCCAGGAAGGTGGGCAGCCCCCAACTGGACTCAGGATGAGAGGGAGAGGGCCCTCCAGTGCTGCAGGTCCCCACCCGCCTCCCCTGCCCCGCAGGGTCCACGCCAAGGGGAAGGCGGCCTCGGGCTGGGGGCCAGCAAAGGGATGGGGAGGGAAGATTCCCCCACCCACCCTCCATGTACCCCCTACAGAGCCACATGTGGGTGGCATCCAGGCTCTGGGTTGGTTGTGGCATAAGAGCACACGGGATGGATGAGGAAGGGGACCCAAATCACCCAAGGAGCCTGTGTCCTGCTGGTCAGCCAGCAGCAGAGCCTACCTGTGCCACATGACACTTGTCACACAAGCGGGCAGACTTTTTGGGTGTAGTTGTTACTGGAAAGGTGGACAAGGCTGTCAGTTTCCTGTAGACTGGCAGCCTGTGAGCAGCGAGGTGGGCGTCAATGGCCGAGTCTGAGCCCTGCCTCCGGCGTGCGCTCCTGGGCTCAGCAGTGAGCAGAGAAGGTTCTGTTCGCTCTGCCCATGCTGCGCGCCCCACCCCCACCCGGTGACCACGGGCACAGGGCCTTTGGGTGTGGGCGGCTTTTTGGAACCCGTTGGTGGTGTCTTTTCAACATACCATGTCTGAGACACCGCAATCGTGTTCGGACAAGCCTCTGAGGCAGCTGGTGGGTCCCCAGACCAACGCGTAAACGTGACGCCATGTCTGTTTCCCACGTCAGGTCACTCTGTACTTTCCGAGTATAAACCACTCTCCATTCTTAGTCATTTCTGAGCTCCTGCTTGATGAGGCTTCTGTCCCTTATACTTCCAGTTCACACCAATTTATCCTCATTGACTCCCCCCCAAATGTTTGAAGTAGTGTAAATGATAAACACATACAAAAGACAGTAACAAATAAAATTGGAAAGATGAATCAGAGTTATATAGATGGAGGTGTTGTCCACCCTGAACATGAAGTTACACAGGTAAGAAAACAGAGCACTCCATTAGCTCTGAGAGTCCTGGCAGCAAAGGCGGAGAGGAAGAGAGCGTGAGCGAGAGAGACTTGGGGGGTGGGGGAGAAAGAGAGAGAGAGAAAGAGAGAGAAAGAGAGGAGATCCTGTTGCTGGAGAAAAGGAGTCCGTTGATTGGCCTTGAAACATCAAACATCAGCCCCCTGTCCTTTGAAAGGAGCCGCGTTAGGTGTCAGTGATAGAAAAGCAAGGCACGGTGGCTGGCAGAGGCGACAGTCCTTCCCACGAACCAGGCACAGACAGAGTGGGTGGGCCGAACTTGTTCTCTGCGTGGTGTTTCGGTTTCAGGTCCGGGTTTTTTTTTTTTTCCTTTCACTGGACTGAAACTTGGGTGCAAGTGTTACTCTTCACAAACATTCTGAGAATAAACACAGTTGTTCAAAGGTTACCTTGAGCAACACCTTTCGCTCTCTTCCCTCTCTAGAAAAATCTGGTCTGTTACTTTGTTCTGCAAAGAGTTCTGTGGTCCAATGTATTCAGGAAATAGTAGGAAGCAAAGGCAAGCCCGTTCCACAGTGTAGGGTCCCCTGTGCCTTCCACAGATGAATCCGCACCCCAGACCTCCGTGGGGGACACCCACATTCCTGGGCATGAGCGCTTTCTTCTCTGAGTGCATTCATTCCCCCGGGCGCCACACGGGTAGGGCCTGCAGAGCAGAAGGGACATCGTATCGTCATAGATGGCCTGGTTTTAAGTCCCGACGGGATCATTTCCTGACTGTGTCCTCATGGGCAAACCCGTCCCTTTCTCCAAGCTTCTCTCTCTTCCTCCATTAGTGGGCCTGGTGGTCACATTACCTGACTTGAAGGGTGTTGCCGCGACTCAGTGCAACTCGGGGGCGTGTTTGGTCAGAGTGTGCACTGCACAGAAGTAGCTGTGACTGCCACCTGGCTGAAGGGATACCAAAAGCACAAGTCAGTCACCACCTGCCACAGAGTGATGGGACTCAGCAGACACTAGGGTTCGGGGCTGAGGGGGTCCTTGGACACGGGGGTGCTGGGCAGGGACTTCAGGTACTCCAGGTGCCTCCTGGCATCCTCCTGGTTCTGGCGCACATAGTACACGACGTAGGTGATCACCATGGCGAACCAGCCGAACATGGTGACCAGCATGGCCACGTCGGTGGTCTTGTGGTGGGTGCTGCAGAAGCTGACGCCAGCGTCAAGAGCCTGGATCAGTGGCTTCCCCACGTACTCTTCCTGCACCGAGGTGTGGCAGGCGATCTCATCCACCGAGTCGGGGTCCAGCTTCAGCTCCCACAGGGCCTCCTGCAGGGCACACTCGCAGTGCAGGGGGTTGTGGGACAGGCGGATCTTGGCACTGAGCTTGCCCAGGGCGTCCTTTGGAATCCTGCGGATGCGATTGTGAGACAGGTCCAGCAGCCGCAGGCCCCCGGCCAGGCCAGAGAAGGCAGCGGGGCCAATGGTCTCGATGGCGTTCTGAGACAAGTCCAGCTCTCTCAGCTGGCTCAGATGCTGGAAGGCACCGTTGGGGACGCGGGCGATTCTGTTGGCATCGAGCTTCAGGAGCACAGCGTTGGTGGGGATGTCCTTGGGGATCTCCTGCAGGCCACTGGCACTGCAGTGGACAGCCACGGCCCCTTCGTGGTCAGGGCACTGGCAGCTCTGCGGGCAGGAGGTGCCCAAGCGTAGGCAGACGAGGAGGAGGAGGCAAGACCCTCCCATGGGGGCTGGCACGGACGAGGGGCTCTGTTTGCCCATAGGGCCCATCCTGACCGCACCAGGGGAAGATGCCCGCTCCTCTGGCTCCGCGCTGTGGATCTATCCTCTTCCCCACTCCCCTGGCCGCTGCTGTACGAGTGACCATCCGACTCAGACATAAACTTTTGTTCCTCACCTGCCAGGAAAAACAGTGATTGCTTTCAGTTCTAAAACAGAGGGGCAATGGGCATTGTCCACGGTAGTTCAGCTGGGATGAGGGGCACCCTTTGATTTTGGGGAGCTATCGCAGGCAAATTGAAGCCTCTGACCAATGTGGGGCAGGTCTCTGTAACTAAATCCTGGGGATTCCCAATGCCACAAGAAGCGCAAGGGCAGGTCCTGCTGACCACTGGCTTGGGGGAGGCACCCATCAAAATGGTGGGGCAGCCCTGATACCTATCCAGGGCACACCCTCTGTACACTTACAGCCAGAGGCCTGGGCAGCAGTGGGTGATGGCAGACTGGGGCCCACCCCCTTGGAGCCCCTCAGGGCTGGGAACGGAGGAAGACTGAATGCAGCTCCCCCTCCTACCAAAACCACAACCACTGGGAACCAGCGGGGTACTCATCACTCCAGGCCAGGCTGCGGTGGGAAGTTTAGCACTTTGCTAATTTTAACAACCCTTAAAAAATGATAATAATAAATAAAGCTCTTCTCTGTCGGCCCTAATAGGAACAGCTACCCAGCACCTGTACCGGGGTCGGAGCCTTTTATTTCAATGATGCTTGAAAAGGAAGGAAAATGAGAAAAGAGAAAAGCCAAACCCTGCGCGCACGCTGCGCTGGAGCGTGGAGTGGTGGGGCTGCGCGGGGCCTGGGCTGGCTGGGCTCGGACCCCTGGACCACGGACCCCCGGGACCCCGGGACCCCCGAGCGGGTAATAGATAGGGGTGCGGTGTCCACACTCCCGGGAGGGGTGGGGGCTTTACCTGCGCGCCCGCGTCCGGAGGCTGCTCTGCGCGAGGCTCTCCGCCGCTCGGAGCCCGACCCGGCGCCACACCCGGGCGCGGCGGCGACCCCGAGGCCCGCTCCCACGTCCGCCACGGCTGTGACACACGCTGCTCGGCCGCGCTGCGCCGGGGCAGAGCTGGGGGCGGGGGCTGGAGGGGGCGGGGGCTGGAGGGGGCGGGGCCGGACCAGGGCGAGGCGGGAGTCTAGGCGAGGGGCGGAGCCTGGGGTGGGACTGGAGAGGCCGAATGGGGAGGGCGGGGGGGTGCCTGGGGCGTGCCCTGTTTGGGAAGGCGTGGAACGAAGCTGGGGGTGGATCCTCTGGTGGGTGTGTCTCAGGGACTGTGGGCGGGGCCGCGGGGACGCAGAGCCCCACCCCGCCCGGGTCCACCCGGCTTCACGCGAGGGGAGCTAGTCCTGTCCGGACGCGGGTACCTGGAGACCCTCGGATCAGCGCTAAGACCTTGCGGTGCGCTCTTCTTGCTGTGCGTCCCTCGCAGGCTTGATGCCAGCGGCCCCTGAAGCTGGTTAGTGGGGTTAGGCCTCTGCCCACTGGAACCCTTCCTGCCCCAGAACCCTTACTCCATCCCCCATACACTGTGTCTTAGGGTGGTGCATGTAGGCATTGAGGAGGGTGGGGAATGTGGAGGCCGGGGAATTTAAGCTGGGCCGGAGCCATCCTAGAACTTTCAAAAGCAGCTTTATTGTGGTGTAATTGATGTACAAGAAACCGCATATTTAAATTTGATTCCTTTTGACATCTGTATAAGCTCGTGAAACCATCACCATAATTCACTCAGTACATAGCTCAGTGCCCCCGCTCGACCTTGGTACTTCCTCCCTACGCCCAGCGCCAGGCAAGCACTAATCTGTCACTGTAGATCAGTTGGTATTTCTTATAATTTATCTAAGTGGAATCACAGGTATGTATCTTTTGGTCTCGTTTCTTTCACTCACCGTAATTCCTTCGAGTGCTGATGTGTTTATCAAGTTATTCCTTTTAGTGCTGGCTCGTCATCCATCCTATGAATGTTCCACGTTCTGCCCTATCCTTCTGCCCGTTCATGGTCATTTGCGTTGTTTCCAGTTGTTGCCAATTACGAATAAAGTGATACAAACATTGTGTACTCCCTTTGTTTGGACAAATACTCCTATTTCTCTTGAGTAAATATCTAGGAGTGGAATGGCTGGATCACGTGTAGCTGTGTGTTTCATTTGAAAGAAAAAGACCAAATGATTGCACAACTTTACATTCCAGCAGATAGTGTATGTTCACACCCTCACCAGCACTTGGCATGGTCAACCTTCTAAATTTTAGGCATTCTCATAGGTGTGTGCTGGTATCTCATTGTGGTTTTAACTTGTACTTCCCCAGTGACTAACGGTGAGCATCTTTTCATCTCTTTATTTGCCATCTTCTTTAGGGAAGTGCCCTGTTCAGATCTTTTACCCACCTTTGAGTTGTTTTCGTATTGCTGAGTTTTGAGAGCTCTTTGTATACATTCTGGATACAAGTCCTTTATCAGACGTATGATTTGTAAATATTTTCTGTGAGTCTATGGAATGTCCTTTCGCTCTCTTGAACACTTTTCAAAGAGAAGCTTTTAATTTTGATGAAGTCCAACTTAAGAATTTTTTCTTATATGGCTCGTGCTTTTTGTGTCTTATATAAGAAATCTTTGCCTAACTGAAAGTTACAAAGATTTTTATAGTTTAGGTTTTGCGTGTGGTTTATTATCCAGTTTGAACTAGTTTTGATATGTGGTATGAAATATAATTCCAGGTTTATTTTTTGTGCATATAGATAACCAGTGTTCCAGGACTGTTTGTTGAAGAAATTATTCTTTCTTTAGTGAATAACCTTTGCACCTTTGTTGAAAATCAGTGGTCCATATATGTATGAGTCTATTTCTCGACCCTTTCTGTTCAACTGGTCTATTTGCCTATTTTATGCAAATGTTCCAAGCTGTCTTTATTGGTGGAACTTTATAATAAATCTTGAAATCTGGAGGTATTGAATATAAATATTTCAAATTTGTTCTTTCATAAAATTTCTTTGGTCATCCACGATCCTTTGCATTTCCTCATGAATTTTAGAATCAGCTTGTCAACTTCTACTAAAAAAGCCTAGAGGGATTTTGTTTGGGATTGCATTGAGAAAATTAACATCTTGACAATGCTCAGTCTCCAATTCATGAACATGGTATATCTTTTTGTTTATTTAGAATTCCTTTTATTTCCTTCATCCGTGTTTTATAGGTTCTTGTTTACAAATCTTGCACACCTTTTGTCAGATTTATCTCTGATATTTTATTTACTGTAAATACCATTTTTTCTATTTCTGGTATTTAATTGCTAATATGTAGAAACAAAATTGATTGTTGTATTGTGATCTTAGCTAAACTCACTTATTAGTTCTAATAACTTTTTAATACATACCTTAGGATTTTCTACATATACAATCATGTTTTCTGTAAATAAAAAGATTATGACTTCTTTCTCTCCAGCCTGGATATATTTTAAATTCATTTTCATGCCCAATTGCATTGTCTAGGAACTCTAGTTTAATACTGACCATGAGTGAGAGCAGATACCCTTGTTCCTGATCTCAAGGGGAAGCACTCAGTCTTTCACCATTAGGAACAATGTTGGCTGTGGATTTTTTGTAGTTGGCCTTCACAGTGTGAGGAAGTGCCATTCTACTACTAGTTTGCTGAGAGTTTTTACTAGGAATGGATGCTGGACTTCGTGAAATGTTTTCTGCATCTTTCAAAAATCTTTTAAAAATATGTTAATATGGTGGATTATACTGATTGGTTTTCAAATGTTAAGTAAACCTTGCGTCCTTGGGATGATAAACCACGAGAACTCTTTGTCTAACTCAAAGTCACATAGTGTATTATCATTTTATATGTTGTTAAATTACTTAGTAGAGATGGAGATTCTGAGGTTATTTTTCTTCCTTGATTGAATATTGATAGTTTGTATCTTTTAAGGAATTGTCCATTTATCTAAATTGTTGAATTTATCAACATAAAGTACTTCGTAATATTGTTATTAATTTTTCAAAATAATGTCACCTTTCTCATTCCTGATGTTGGTAGTTTGTGTCTTCTCTCTTCTTTTACTGATTAGAATAAAAGTTTGTCAATTTTATTGATAGTCTCAAAGAACCAGTTTTTGGTTTCATTGATTTCTCTATTGTTTTCCCTTTTTTATTGACTTCCACTCTGATCTGTGTTCTTTCTTTTGCTTACATTTGGTTTAATTTTCTCTTCTTTTCCTGGTTTCTCACGGTGGAAGCTAGGTCACTAATTTGAGAACTTCTTCTTTAGTACAGGCTGCGAATTTCCCTCGGTGTCAGGTTTTAGATGCATTCCAGAAACTCTGATATGTTGTATTTTCATACTGATTAAGTTAAAAATATTTTCTAATTTTCCTTTTGATATTTTTTGATCCATTGATTTAGAAGTGTGTTAGTTTGTTTTCAGATATGTGGATATTTTCCAGAGACCTTTCTTTCTGTTTTTGATTATTAATTTAAATCTATTGTTGTCAGAGAACACACTCTGTATGTTTTAGACCTTTTTAAGTTTGTCAGGACTGACTTTGTGGCCCAGAATATGGCCTGTGTTAATAATTGTTATGTGTGCATTTAAATGTGAGTCACGTTTTTCAGTGGAGTGCTGATCAGGTCAAGTCTGCTGATGGTGTGATTCAAGCGTTCTATTTTATGACCGACTTTCTGTCCACTTGCTCTATTAATTAGTGAAAGGGATGTTGAAGCCTCTGATTATGATTGTAGATTTATCTCTCCTTGCAGTTCTGTTTTTGCTTCACAGATTTTGAAACCTATATTCAGATTGTGTCCTTTTGATAACGTGGCCACTTTATCATTGTGAAATGCCATTGTCTATTGGCTGTGCTATTGTCATGTGGGTTATGCACGTTATATTTCTGCCTTAAATGGCCAGCTGCCTTTTTTTAAGGTTTTAAATTTATTTTTAGAGAGCGGGGAGGAGAGGGAGAAAGAGAGGGAGAGAAATATTGATCCGTTGCCTTTCCTATGTGCACAGACTGGTGACCAAATCTGTAACCCAGGCATGTGCCCCTACAAGAAATCAAACCCATGACCATTTGCTTTGCAGACCAACACCCAACAGCTGAGCCACACCAGCAGGGCCAGCCAACTGTCTTTTAAAGGGGATAAAATACTGTGGGTTGTGAAACCGTTAGTACGTTATTGTTTAGGAAATTGAAGAGGTACCAAAGGGAGTCCCCGAATTATGGAGTGTTTTTAATATTTAAATTCAACAAATTGTGTGGTGAGTGGGAGGGGCCAGCCATTCAGAGCTCACAATGCGTGTTTCTATTTATGAAAAGTTCAAGTACAGGCAACACTCAGGGGTGGTGGAGCATAAGATGGGGATGGGGCTCAATGGGGCTCCTGGCGCCGGGTGTTCTGAATCTCGATCTGGCTGCTGCTTGTTAACATATGTAAAAATCCCATCAAGCTGCCCGCACACAAAATTTGTGCGGTGACTAACGTGTACTCCTGACCGCATGCCCTTGCAGCCTGGCTGTTCACCGGGGATTCCACGTGTTAAGGACACATACGTTGATGGGTGGATGGACCAGTCAATTCCAGGTGCTCATGGGAAGCCGTGTGTTGAGCTGTCATCCCAGTCCTCAGTTCTGTGGCCTGCCTCACGAGCAATGTCGTCAGCGTGCCTACGGGAGGCTCTGGCGCCCGCCAGGCCCAGACCGCAGGGCCGTGTGCGAGCCTGGCTCACTGTCCACTCCGGACCGTGAGGCCAGTGTTCCTGAGCACACCAGAAACCTTCCAATGCCATCCTAGCCATGTGGTCTGCCCACAGGGTTGCTTTCTGACTGTAATTGGACTCTGAGCTGATTATCTTGCCCATTTACCCACCACGAGTCCAGGCTTCGTGGCCTCAGGGATTAAATACAGCACTGCAGCTGGTTAATTGCCTTCCCGTCAGGGAAGGTCTGAGTGCTTTGCTGGGGGAGGTCTGAGTGCTTCTCTCTGGGGAGACATGGGGAGAAGCCGAGCCTGCAGCATCACCAGGGCCAGATGACA